CGAAACCAGACCCAACCCTCCCGCCCGGGTGTGTCTGGAAAAGCGGTTCGGCTGCAGCCCCTGCGACATCAGCAGGCGTCCGGAGACCCAGGCGCCCTCGGGCGCCCTGAGCAAGTATGTGGCAGGAATGTGCAGAGCTTCGCTGTATTGACGGGTCTATACAGGTTCGGACTTGTATGTTAAAGGTCGTAGTTAAATAATTGCGGTTCCCTACTATTCCTTACCTTCTATGTTGTGAGAAGTTGTTTTTTATTTGGTATTTTATACGGGAAAGAGCTAATGGTTGCCAAAGGGGAGTATTCCTGTTCGTTTCAAATGGCAAGTGTCCATATTTAACGAGTAGAAAGTGAGATAAAGCCCTAGATTAAGTAGGTGCTATTGTCAATGACTTAATGACTGTTCGGAAAGTTTAAAGAAACCTTAAAAAGAGTTACAGATAAGAGGAATCAGCTCATCTAGCTTGTTTGGTAGTTAAGACTCGGCTTCAGCCACTTTGCTGTTCCACACACATCCAACCTTCTGGGTGAGGAGGAGCCCCCAGTCCTGTTTCATTTTCCAACTCTGCGCCCCCCCAAAAATGACTTCAAAGTGCAGAGGGCGTGCGTCAGTGATGCTGCAGTGAGGATGTCTGTCCTTGCAGTTTCCTGTCAGGCCTGCATCACCCGGCAGAGCTGCTGGGAGTGTCCAAGGGCCTGAAACTGGGCAGGACCAAGCTGGCACCCCGGCCCGTGCCCATAGAGCTCACCTACCCTCTCTATGGGGCCAGCCTGTGTAACTCGGCCGAGAACACTGGCACCTCCGCACAGGTAGGAACACTAGCGTGGCTACGATTAGAGTGATGGACTTTTCATCTAGCTCATCTGTTCTGCTGGTGCAGTGATTAGCATTGCTGCCTCGTAGTGCTGGGGGCCTGGGTTCAGCTCCTGGGGTGCTGTCTGCGTGGAGTTTGTATGTGCTCCCTGTGTTTGTGAGGGTTTCCTCTGGGTGCTCCGGGTTCCTCCCACAGGCCAAAGACATACTGGCAGGTTAATTGGCTTCTGGGAAAATTGGCCCGGGCGCAAATGTGAATTGGATAAAGCAGTTAGAAATGTATCGTCCGGAATTGAAGCCAGGGTTCCAGTGCTGTGGGGCAGCAGTGCAAATCACCACACCCAATTTAAATGTTATCTGCTAATATACTAGCGTTCTTTTGTCTTTTCCTTTTTTTCCTTGGTTGTTGTACTCCAGCATTCCTCACAAGCCACATTTTACCTGCAACAGAAGCAGGTTCCTGCTCACAGAGAAGAAGAAGGATGCTTGTGGGGGTTTTGATTCACTGGTGTGCCTTTTGTCTCAGCTGGCTTCCTTGCTATATTGCCATTAATGAGTTTTAAAAGCAGACGTCCTCCTGCTCAGGGATCTACAGTACAGTAAATTAATAAATCCAGGCGCTGTAGTGAAGGGGAATATACAGCCTCTTTGTACGTGATGCTCCTAAATGTTTGAACAGTTCAGTTCATATTTATTTAAAACTGTAACCTGAAGGCAGATTCAGTGATTCATCCATGCAAGGTGGTTCAGTCATGCGGATCGCTGAAAGTCACAGAATGCATGAGGACAGTGCCAGGGCTTTATCCTGGTCCCCTGGTTCAGAGCAGCTGAGTCAACTGTTGTAGTAAACTGTCAGTAATTGTTGTTAAAAAAGCAAATGTTTACTTAGTAGATTTAATTTCTTTGGGATCAACTGTTACCTCTAGAGCTTGTGGCACAGTTTTAGTCACTTTCTAGCTGTTATTAGTTTTGAGAGACATAAAATGACAAGGTTATTTTTAAAAAACAGCATAATTGATTCTATGTGTTCATATTATATCTTAATCTTTTGTTTTAAGAGTATTGGAAGTTTTTCACAGTTCCTGGAATCGGCAAAGCACCAGGAGCTGATTCCAAGGAATTTCACCTTTAGTTACCAACAAGACACAGAATCTTTCGAACCAACAGTCCTGACCCAAACCAAGTCCTTAGCCGAACAAGTCTGGGTTAATCAAGAAGGTATGGAGATGTTTAGAGAATTCTACTGTATAAAATAAGCTATTTTTAATAGCAGTTACAGATAGCAGCAGCTTATTGTTTGATCATTGCATTGGAATTTTGAGTCTTCAGGTAGGGATGTAAGTGTGATTGAGTTTTTGATTTTAAGGTTCATGACGGTGGATTGAAGTTGTTTATAATTCAAGTTGTGACCTGTAACCAGTGAACTGCAAATTAGTATTTAGTACGGTTTGATGACGTTCATTAATTTAGCAAGTGAAATAAGTTTGGTAGAATTGTATTATTATACAATGATGCCCATCCTAAAGTTTATTGGACACTCATTTCTCCAAGCAAGATAGTTAAGAATTTAAGCACATCAGCAGTTTCAAGATACATGGTGTGCCTTAAACCTCTATTGCTGTGTGGTTTTAAGTTACTTAATGCACAAGATATCTGAACAGCAGCTATGATGGAATAGGTCCAGAAGAGATTTCTTTATCGTATAAGGAGGACAGCTCCTCAAGCTACTGAAGTATTGAATAAACCAGTGAGCAGCACTGGACATGGAGCTTAGAGCTGCTTATGTCTGCCCCTGTGTAAGGAGCCGCCCGGTTCTTTGTGAAAGAGAAACACGCCAAGCGGGCTGAAGATGCCGAAAGGGCTCCCATCTTTCTTCTTTATCAACGCGTTCCCCCCCCCCCTTCTCCCGCAAAAAAAGAAATCTTACAGGCCAGACGCAGGGCGAGCAGCAGGCGCAGCCGGGCCCGCGGGCAGCAGGCGGCCAGCGAGCGGCGCGCCCTCAGCGACATCCAGAACGTGCTGGCGGCCCCGGGCGGCGAGGCCGCGGACGGCACCCTCAGGAAGAGCAGAGGGTACAGGGAGAACTCGCTTCGCCGGGAGAGGCACAACAGCATGGAGCGGGACAGGAGGTGCTTATCCGTGGAGCGGGAAAGGAAATGGGTCGCGAGCTGCTTTCCCCGACAGCTGTAACAGGCTGTAGTTTTTGGTTTCTGTTACTGCTCAGTTCACTTTTGAAGTCCATTGTTCTGTCATTTTCCCCGCAAGGGATCCTTCTTGCTTTTTGAGTATCTCCCACCGTGCCATGATTAGTTTTGTCTTCTCCTTAATGTTGTTGACCCCAGATCTTACGTTTGTTTTAACATTTTATTGACAGTATTGTTTTTAGAAAGTGGCCATTTTTCCCAGCTAAATGATGTAAGTTGTATTATACTGCCGAGTGTGTGTATTCAGAATCCTGGATAATAGAAAGCACCGTTCAGTACAGGTGTCCAAAGTGCATAATGTTGATAGAAGTGAGAACAACCTGCAGAACACATCACTGGCAGTTTTGACTTAGAAAATATTGGTTTGTATTCTGTTTATTGCATCTCTGCATTAATTAAGTGTGCAAAGCCTTCCATCTTTAAATTGTTTTATTTGCAAGAATTAGGGCAAAAAATCAACACTGAATTCAGTTTAAATCAGTGTAGTTTCTCCTTGGAATACTTTCAGAAGGAGAATCCGTATTTGTTGTGATGAGCTGAACATCCTGGTTCCATTTTGCACCCCTGAGACTGACAAAGCTACAACACTGCAGTGGACCACCGCGTTCCTCAAATACATTGATGAAGTACACGGAGACAGCCTGAGAAAGGTAGGTATGGAGAATACCCATTAAAAAAATAATAGTAAAATGTTTTATGGTAAATTGAATATCTTCAGAACATCATTAACATGATTTGCAGCCTACAGAGGACTTAAATTTGAACATAATGTTATAGCATTCTAGCTGTAAATAATAGTCTTTAAAAATACTTTTTGCATGTTTCCTGGTTTGTAAAAGTAGATGTGAAGGTCATACTGGTTTATAAATAATTGATTTCCTAAACTGGAAACCAGAAATAGCACTAGATACACATTGTTCTATAAAATAAAATGCAGAAATACGAAGTGGTACATTTGTGCTGTGTATATCTAGGATACTAAGAGTCAGAATTGACGTTTTTCAAGGATGTTCTTGTAGAGAAGGGGTTCCCAATGCTTGCCTTGGAGGTCCTCACACCTATTTCTGTTCCAGACAAGCTCTCGATTGTAGCACCAAAACCTTAATTAACCTAATAATCAGAATAATTTCCAGCCCTTTTGTGCCCTTAAACAGAAATAAAATTACTTTGAAATAAAATTCCAAACCTCTTGAGTAGAAACCAATGTGAATATTCCACTAAAGCACCTTTTTTAACTTGGTAGTAAGCCCTAATTGAACTAAATAATGAAGCTGAGCTAGAATGAAAACCATCAGGTGTGTGTTTGACCCCAGGATCAGGACTGGGAACCCCAGTTTTAGATATTAAGCCATGCAAAACGTGATTGTGGTACAGAAATTGCATTTTGCCAACAGATACTTTGTGATCCTCTCTTGTCCAGGAGTTTGAGAATGCTTTCTGTGGCAAGACTGGCAAACGCCTGAAGCCTGGCCTGACGGAGCAGCACATGCCTCATGAAGAGAGCCCACTGAGCAGCGTGCCAGTGGAGCAGAAATGAAGTCAAGGACACTGTATAGAGTATGTATTTTTTGCAAATACTCCAGAAGAGTATTTTGATTGCATTCTTAATGTACACACTAAAAATATTTAAAATATACATTGCAGAAATCCCTATCTGTATGCACATGGTTGGCTGTGCATAGTAAGAAAAGAGCAGTCACAGGCTCTAATCTTGCTGCACTGATTAGTAGACTAATGATGCATCTGAATTGTCTGTTGTTCCGTTGAGCTCTAACCAAAAGGAGACCATTGTGTACAGTTGAAGGACATCTGGATCTCCAATAACAACCATTGTCTCACTCTGTAGCTGGAGCTCGTGTGAATGTCTTGCATACATAATTCTTGTCTATAGTTTACATATTTAAAAACATATTGATACAAAATAAAGTTGTGTGTCTTTTTATACTGTCTTAAAAACCAAAAACAAGAGCAACATGATGAGTCTTTACCCTCCTGTTTCTTCTGTAATGCTTGTCATTTTATTGGGAGACCTGGTATTTGAGCTGTGACCATACAGACATACATCAGGATAATTCTCTTCTTATATGGAAGCATCATAGGTACAACAGTGGCACCAACAGATCAAGTTCTGTAGGGCTAAATAATGGAGTTATCAACTTTTATTCTAAAACACATTTGAAATTTTTAGATTTCTCTTTCACAACACGATTGTGAAATATGAAGGATAACTATACATCTTTTAATTTCTTGAATATGGGGGGAAAAGGAACATGAAACTGTTTTGCAGAAAAGCTTCCAGAGGTGGCACTGTTTCTCCATGCTAGATTTTAAAAGGTAAAGAAAAATACCGGACAGGTTTTCTCCAGTAGTTTACTACAATATTATTTATATTAATATATAGTAATATTTTGCATCTTAAATGTTAAGTCAAATTGACTTTTACTTGCAAATATATATATATATTAAATAAAGCTAAATGAATTGGGTATTTGTTACACATTAAAATGGACAGGTTTGGAATTAATAACATACTTGTATTTGGTTAATGATTATTGGAGTAGGATAGGTTCTACTTTTTAATAGCTTGAAAGCACTTACATTCTTAAAAGTACTGTAACATCAATAGTTTGCCATGTTCTGTAATTTAAGAGTAAAGTTTCTTGTTTTCCTTGTTGGCATTTACATTTTAAAAATAAAACAATTTCAAAACATTGTTTTCTATTTTGTTTAAACAATTCAAGAATTCTTGTGTATATTCAGTTTATAACTTGTATCATTGATTTTTATTGATGTTTAGAACAGAGTAATGTTTTACTGAAAAGTGGCTTTATTTGATATTTCTTACAACATATGGTGCTGTAGTGCTTTACTGTACATACAACAGTCACCCACAAATAATAAATAGAATTTAAATTCATGTATATTTAATAGTTACAGCACCATTGCATAGTGGATGTGGATTTACATTGAAGACGTGGAAAGGGATTAAGCACACTTCACGGAGGACTGCATACTTGTAACAATTGTTTGCTGCACCCACAGAGACACTTAAAAGGTTTTATTTCCTGACATATTTTGCGGGGAATTGGCTTTCAGAATTAAGTCCAATTTAAACACTGCATTGTTACAAAAACAAACAAAAACACTTTACAAGCTGCTTCCAATAACACCAAAACTAGGTAAGTGTTGAGAATGGATCTTACTGCAGGTGTACTTCAACTATACAAAATACATGGACCCACTTTGTAATATTTATAATTCTATATACAAAGCCCCTGCGCAGAATGATGGCTCTTGCTCAGAATCGTGATCACGAAAGACAGTGTTCTGCGAGGTAAGCTTTCCTGCTGAGGAGACACAAAGCCACAGTAGGGCAGCGCTGCGTTTGAACTCTAAACCTACCACAAAGACATTCAGGAAGAGGAACAGCAGGGAGAGGGGCCTCTGTTTGGCAAGAGAGGTGTGTAGAAAGAAAAGAAGAATTGTCTTTAAGCACCTTTTCAGTAAAGTCATTCATGGGAGACTGTTTTATTGTTTACGGAGCAATACTGATGTTCTTGCGCTCTTGCTCATTACTGACGTCTGTCCTTTTTAGTTTCTTGGAAGAGTGATTTTTTTTATTGCTGTATTGCGGGGTTTTTTTCAGCCCTCTTCCTCACTCTTTTGTTCTTAGATATCCAGTCACTTTCTCTTTTTTTTAATTAAAAAAAGGTAACTCTGCCGTTCCGCCCAGTTTAACTGTTTTTCGGACTGGGTGATTTTCCTCCCGCCACGGCCCCCTGGCAGGCCGACGTGTCACAGATTCCTGGGGACCCCTGGGCACCGGTTCTCCCCACTCTGCCAGGCTCACCAGGGTAGCCCGGGTCGCCCGGGGTGCCATGGCGACCATCTTTACTCACTCCGGGCACCCCAGGAAGGCCTGGTGGCAGACAGAACAATAAGCTTTAGTGCTCAGAAGCATGTAACTGTAAGGCACAGAGGCTCACCCGGAAAGATAAAGTACTTTTAAGTTTGTTCAATGTATAATAAGGATTGTTAAGAAATGCTCACTAAATAGACTTTTCAGTGCCTTTCACATACCTTGATGCCCTTGGTCTCCTGTAGGTCCATCAATGCCTTTGCCTGTATGTCCTTTATCACCTTGCTCACCTGGGTCCCCTAGGGTGCAATTGAAGGCAACAACACAATCGTTACGTTTGGACAATCATATTCCAGACCTGACACATCAGTCAGGACATGATGTTATGCCAGAATATGGGGCTTAACCTCCCTTTGCTGTTTTATTGTTTCCCAAGCAAGTCTCAAAGCAAGTAAGTAAATAAAGAAATTATATACGTGATAGTGTTCTTTTGCAGTTTTGTTCCAGTCCTACTTAAAAAATGCTATTTTTAAGTGGTAAGAGCACTTCAACAGGTTTTGGATTGCATATTTCATCACGGAAGAGTTCCCAGACACTGCAGAAAAACAGTGGGTAGATGATGGATTTTCTCCATTTGCTGCTGCGTTTGGACAGTTAAAAATCCATTCACCTTTTAAAATAATCAAACATCAAGTATCACATATGAATACAGAGCACACAAATACAAAGAAGCTGAGAATCATTAATCCTAGCAGAATTGGGCCCAGATAACCTGACATGCATATATTTGGACATATATATATATGTATGTTTATATGTTTTGGACAAATATATGGATTCTATACCTTTTAGCACCTAATTGGCCTCCACTATTCAAGCACAGCTCAACAAGCCAGGCCTTATGGCAATGCCTACTTAGTGGAACAGGTGACGTGCAGTTCCACCCACCCTCTCCCATACCCAGCCACAGCTGCATAGCCCCCTCCTCCCTCACCTCTGGGGCCGGGGTCCCCCAGCTCTCCCGGGAGCCCTCGGTATCCGGGAGGCCCTCGTGGCCCTTGGTGTCCTATCGACCCAGCGGGTCCAGGCTGTCCTGGTGGCCCAGGAGGCCCTGGGCGACCCACCATGCCAGGTGCGAGGGGCCTTCTCAAGTTTGCAGCCAGCTGGCCAATCTGATCTGAGGAGCAGAAAACAGCAACGTTTCTCTTGTCATGATAGGATAATAATAAGAGGAGACAAAAGTCTTTTCTAATAATTTCTCTTCTTATTCCCAGAGTAGTGGGTTCTTCTGAACCAGTCCACATCTTTTGGATGGATGCACAGGCATTTACAAAAAAAAATCAAGTGTAAAATTATTGCATATGTGGTGCCCCCAGACTTAAAATATTAATTTATTTTAAGCAATCTCAAATGAGAGCTGATCTATGTGATCTAAAACCCATGACCACATGTCAATTAGTGAAATGAGAAAATCCTAAACGTATGGTATTTTTTTTAGCACAAAGTGTGAAGTCAGATACTTTGCAGACCATCCCACAGCAAACGCGTACTGAAATTCTGACATTTTCCCTCCATTGAAGATAGGGCAGTAGATCACCTTTCATTGATAGTGTTAGGTTTCACATTTATTGAAAGCAGAATAAGCTTATTGTTCTCTTCTCACCATCTATCATTCCCGCACAAATTTCCCTGATGTGCTGTTCGCTGGCCAGTTTGCCCTAAAATGGGAGGAAAAAATGTGAAGAGTAAACTTTTCCCAAAGTTCAAGAATGTCACCTGGACAAATAAGTAGCAACCGAGTTTATCGAACATGCAAAAGATTACCCATGGACAAAAGAAGCATTTAAGGCTTGGGCGGGTAAATCAGTCTACTCTAGAAGCTGCTAAGACTCAAAATAGAGTCTACAAAGCATTGGTAAAACATTGGGACTGAGGCTTGACCGGATCCACTGAGGATTTAATAAACGAATCTCCAAAAAACAGGAATCGGACTTTCCCAGAGCACTCACAGGAACGCCGATTTTCCCCGCGATGCCCGGCAGGCCCTGCTCTCCCTGGAAGCCCATGAGGCCTGATTTCCCAGGGGGGCCTCGGGCCCCGGTTTCTCCTTGGGGACCGGCGAAGCCCTTCGGACCCATTTCACCACGTTTCCCAGGCTTTAGAAGACCAAAAGAAAAAGAAATGACCGAACTGAACCAAATCTATTGGAACCGCTTTAGAACAGCAATGCTGGAATGCTGCTGCTGACATGCCATGGAAATGGTAGGCCTTGCAGTGGGGGCAGCGCTGGGCTTTGTTGATCCCAAAATCCAAAAGGAAATCACTCGGACAAGAAAAGTTACTTTCACCTGAACACACTTCATAGACACAGAGAAGAGCACCAAATATAGATCGGGCTCATGATTTAAAACACAGAAGTCTAAAAATCCACATCTGTTTTGTATGTGAGGAAACATGTGACATATATATATATAATTTCTTTTTGTACAAATAGTTTTTAAGCATCTTTTTTTTTTTCCAGGATAAATTAAGTGAAAAAGAGCGAAGTGTGGCACTGTGACACATCAGAGTGCTTGAAGTAATTACATTAATTGGGCTGCAATCTTTTCAGCAATACAGCATTAATTATTTCCCTTTGGGGCTCCGAAAAGCAGGTTAATAAATCTGAAGTAGCAATCCATTACGGTAATTAATCCAGTTAAACCTGGAATGTGTTCTGGAATCTGGTGCAATTAGTTCATGAGCTGCTGTTCATGTCTCTCACATAGCACTGCCAGTGAGCACAGTGAGGTGGCAGCTGGGTGAGTCCAGGTCTCACATTAGGGGTTTACAGTAGCCAGTAAGTAAGAGTAAAATGTCACAGAGTAAGGTTTTTTCATATTATACTATTTGCATTTCATTTCCAGAATTGTTTGAAATGTTATAATCATCAGTTATCAAAGGGTTCCAAAGCTAAATACATATAGCAGAGGACATATATATATATTTGGTCTGAAAGACCTTTGTCACTTTAATAATTCATTTGATGCTTTTCCTTAAGAAAACAAACAGATGTAAGCAGTATGTGATGATGAATCTCTTATATATTAGGTGTAAAGAGAAAGAAGGAGAATGAAACAGGCAGATATGACTGTCTCAAACTGTCATTTACTGGGAAATGTGATGTTAGATGCCAGGTGTGCGACTAAAGCCTTTGCTTCACTTTCTATCATAAATAAATTAATCAAACTCTGTCCTGGCTAGTATTTTTGATAAATATAAAACAGTGTTTTGTGACACTGTGTTTGTGTGCTTTCTATCTCCTTAAGTGACTAAGTTAAACAATAGCTGCATTGATACCAGTTATATATTACAGTGCTTGCAGTCACTTATTGATTTCTAAACCTGTGTAACCCACTGAAATTAAGAAATAATTCCAGGAAACTTACTTCTCCTTTTTGTCCAACTGGACCAAATGGACCCTAAAGAAATGAAACAAATTTTGAGAAAACAAAAAAAGATGGAAATGTGATGCTGCTAAAATAAATGGAATGATAATGCAAAGGGTCATTTTTCATTACTCTGGCCTAAGAGAATCTTTTTCTCTTATTGCCACAAAACCTCATACCATTCAACACATCATTGACAACAAAATCAATCATTTGTATATATAAGAATGTATATTACTTATTTATATATATATTAAACCACTGGCAGATAGATTTGATAGGTCATTAAATGATACAAATAAATACCCTTCCAATTCCCAGTTAAAAGTTAATTATACAGAACCTTTTTTTGTGCTCATATTGAGTTAGATCTAAATTTGAGGATCGTTCTGTTAAATTCAGATTTGTAGACATAAATTTCTTGACATACCGGTTCCCCTTTCTCTCCAGGAAGTCCATCACTTCCTGCAATACCCTAAACAAGAGAAATGAAGAGAAGATTAGGAGGGTGTCTTTTGATTTAATTATTTAATTTAAATTATATCAAGTGCTTATGTTCCTCAGTCCTAAATCAAGAAAGCATCTGAAGAAGCTCAATGTAGATGTAAGGTTCCCTTTGGATTAAGTAACGAGCTTCAAAGATGTAACAGTCCTGCATATACTGTATATCATAAAGTGTATACTGGTGCTAAAACATAGCCTGCAAATTTGTAATTTGTCATTCAGCACATTGCTCAACAGGGATGTAATTACAAAGTCTTGTAAAAGCCAACTGGAAACTCTATCCCCCTCTTCTCTCAAAAAAGCATTTGGAGTTTACCAATTTTGACAACTTTTCTTTCCTGTTTACTTTCTGAATTACAGTACATACTCCTCAAACCCTCCAAGAAGATCAAAATATTAAATGGCAATACTCTGTTTCTGAAGCATATTCGTCATGAGGCTCTTAAGCCCCCTTAACAGATTTGAAGGAAGTCACAACATTGTTCTTATTCATTTTGGTGAAGACAAGACCACAGATGAAAATGAAAGTTGTTAGAGAGGAGAGGCAGATAAAGGACTGTAAATATTCTTACTGGATTTCCTTTAGGTCCTGAAGCTCCAACTGGACCCTAAGAGACAGAGAAGGAGAGACAGGATAAATAAAGGCTCTGCTGTTGGAGTAGACAGGCCCCCAGCCGCCGACAGGTTGGCTCTGTGGGTAAGAGGCTGGGCTGTCTGATGTACAGAGGGAGCTTACAGGCCGCATGCATAAAGACTCACTTTGTTCTGCTTCTCCACTGACAGTCCCCTAACGCTCAATAAAAACATTCTCGAGCCTCGAGGAAACCAATCCATACAGAATAGTACTATGCTCATGCACGGTAATAAAAATGTACTTTTCAAATATAGAGACTACTTACAGTACATTGAAATAGGACAAAATCTACAAAGCAAGTAATGTGGTGTTAATTATTCATGTGTCTATTAAATTGAAGTCTTTTTTAATTTAAAATGGTCTGTGAGAGTCATTACATTTACCCCATGCAGCATGTGTTTAATTTTGGTTTGATTTCATGTTGCTGAGATCGCAAAATATGCAGTTTTGTTGTTTGACATATTATTTTCCTGTGTATTCCAATACAGCTGTTCAAATTTGACATTGATTTTGGACGTGCGCATTTCGTTCTGAAGTGCTCTTCAAAGACATCATTCTTTAAAGTTTTTTTTTTAGATTTTAAAGTTAACGTATCGAAAAAATATCATTATTTCTGCATAACAAGAATTTCTGAGGCTTTGAAAGCCCCTGTAATGAATAACCTTTGCCAGTAAAAGAAAATAATTATTTTCCCTGCATTGGTTCAGTCTGTAAAAATAGTGTAAGAAATGTGAATATAAAGTCTTTTAATTTATAATAGCAGATTCTTGCACAGTAGCGGTATATCCATACCTTTTAGCACCTAATTGGCCTCCACTATTTAAGCACAGTTCAACAAGATTGGAAAGGTCCTTATTTTTAAATACAGGGAAGTCTTTGGCATACCAAGAGCTCTAAAGAAAATTGATGGGCATTCTGCCCACAGTGGAAAAGCAGACTGAAGTACATCAAAAATGGTCAGGCTCTGTCACTTATTCGTCTCTGTTGCACTCAGCTTTGAAGTGAAGCAACTAATGTCTTCATTAGACACTATGACAGTACAACATGGCGTATTTGTTTTCGTTTTCATTTTTCTCATTCTTTAAATACACATCTGCAGCATCATGAGAGCATTTTTAATTGTGCAGGCTTCATTGCGAAGCTTCACCTTCAGTGTGCGGACTCACCCTGTCACCAAATTGTCCTCGGATTCCTGTTGGCCCCGGAAGTCCTGCGTCCCCCTGAGCACCTTTAGGTCCCTGCAGTTAGATCATATTTCTAGTCAAAATAACTTTAGAGATACCAAAGAGAGATTTGACCATAGGTTTAAAGGCACACAAATGGGTCAGCAGAACATGCTCATGTCTGGATTCTTTGATACAATTAAACAGCTGGCTGTTTTTGACAGTGTACAATATACCTAAAGAAGGAGCTACGAAATGAATGCGTTCCTTTATTCACACACAGTAGACCACTAATTCATTAAATGTGCCCATCAAAGTTTCATATCATGTGAATGAGTGATTAGAAAGTGAATCGTGTGCATTGCAGGGCACTACTGTAAAGATCAAGAAAGAGATGTTCTTTTTATTCAGTGCGGTAAAGCAATAAGGAATGAATTAAATGCAGCCTTCGCTTTCCAAAAAGGGTAAAATAACTGTACTTCTGATGTTGGGAATAGGGCTCAGTGTGAAACAAAGAAATGACTGACCTGGTAACCTTTAACCCCTGGTGCCCCCAGGTCTCCTTGAGCCCCGATTCCTCCCTGTGAAATAAACAGCACATCTCCATTAGAACAGCAAACATCAAGTAGTTCCACAACCATCTCTGGGCAGTAAGGGCCTTTCTCACTCTAATGTCTATCACCGAGCTTTTCCACCCAAAAAAGATGTTGGACACCTCAAATCTGTAAAACTGGACATTCAGCTAATTCGATTTTAACACTGGGAACACCAGTTTTTCTGGTTTTAGATGTTTTTTTTCTTTCTCTTCAGGATGTGCGTAGAAAGTCGAAGTGTATCTTCCTTCAAAAAAGTAAATAGTTTGATCACAAAATATATCTTCTGTCACTTGCTCTTCAGCAAGATAAGGCTCCTAGGGAGGCTTCCACCTTCAGCTGTAGTCCTATATAATGATTTTTTCAGGTTGTGTTATACAGCTAGAACATAGCAAACTGCATCAGATTACAGGAGCTTTTCGCTGGGGGCTTGGGTTATTCATTGGTGACATTTTTAAAATAGCCCTTTGTATTGATCTCCTTTCTGAGCTGTGCAGGCTTAAAGCAATCAGTGCATCCACTCATCTCTGGAATCTACACTGCCAGTAGAGCTGCTGAAGTATACAAAGCTTTTTTCCCAGGGCTGCAGCACTTAAACATTGGACAAAGGCTCTTCTGTCCAGATAGGACCATTCCCACTTTCCCGAAATAACTACTTTTAGTTAGGGCTAGCCACAGTAGGAATGGCTTTGAGATGACATTGCTAGATTGTAATTCACATATTATTGAAATATACTGAAAATTATTTTCGATTGGATAGGGGTGAAATAAAAGTCTGTAATATATGAACATAATATTTTCGGTGTTCTCTTACCAAGTAGCTCACAGGCTTAATTATATGGTACCATATAAATTTAAAAATACATCTTAGAACTATACTGCAGCTATTTATGGCTTGCTAGGGGAAAAATGTAAAAATAAATATGTAGTTTTCTTACATCTAAATATGTAATGACTCAAGACTATAAATCAAAAACGTCTGTCAATTTTCCATATAATTGATTTGATTGGTTATTTTCCTAGCCAAAACACAGGGTTTATAGTTATTATATTTTGTAAATGATATATATTTTAGTATTTATTATTAAATATCTTTATTTAGCAATTAACACATTATCATTATATATCACACCCTTTTATCTTCTATCAATTCCAAAAAGTATGAAATATTTGACATATTTGCCTGAGTTCAGGCACTGTTTCTAGAATAATTTTCCATTTCTTTAGTTTAAGGATCGATCATAACTCATAAGTGACCCCAGAGCTTGAGAACTGGCTACAATGGTGTAGCGGCCATGAGAAATAGATCTTTTCTATGGTCAGGAGCCTGACATGTGCCAGCCACGAGCAATTTCATGCCATCAGCAGTTAGTATATTTAAAATATTATTAACTTGATACTACTGCAATTGCCCTCTTATTTACAGTCCCTAGTACGTCTGTTAAAACTCTTTTTCATGGATCTAAAAGTCTGTGCTGAGTAAACTATAGCGTGAAGGTGGCAGTACAGTATTGTGTGTAGCGCTTGGAAAGTGTTTTGGATTGGGTGCTGGGATGAAATACTCACAGCTACACCTCTAGGCCCAGCCTCGCCCCTCTCTCCGGGAATGCCCGGAATACCCTGAATTTAGAAAGAAAAGAGGAAGAGGGATGAGTTACTGTGGTTGCTTCTGAGCAAGTTAAATGAAAATTCATATTGGTGAGCTGTGGGAAATGAACATGGGTTATTCATGCAAGTGGATGTGACACAAAAGGTAAAATAGCAGATTAACAAGATTACATTTAACCACATTTATACTCTTGCAGATCAGCAATACATTTCAAGCCAAAATAACTAGGTACTATCAGATCTGAAAATGCTGCCTTTAAGGCATCAAGCAGGACAAAGGAAGAATGGAAATTACATACAGCACTTTCGAACATTTTGTTTTGGAATCAGTTGTATCATTCTACTGCCCCCTTCCTCCTGGATGGTAAAACAGTCTTCAAAGCTCATTACAAATGTTCCAGGGATCTAGAAGTGACTTTCTCACTATATTCACAATTCAAACTGTGTTGGTTCACACTTGCTCTGTGCTTCAGAGCACAGATGCCCCGTCCAAAGGCGCTATACAAGCCCGTCAGATACATACAGGAATACCTGGCTCTCCAGAAGGGCCTGCCTCTCCCATTTCTCCTTGGTCACCCTGGGAAATAGAAACCCGTGTCATCTTTCAGGCACAACTGATCAATGCACTGGGTACACAGGTTCTAGTGACTGGAAAGCTGTTCGGATACTTATTAGTTAGTATTGGGTTATACACTAAATTCTTCTTACACAACTGTTTTAATGGACTCTGTTGTTATAAGGCTTGTGAAATAAAAAGGTATACCTGCTTAATTACAGATCACATCAGCTCATTCTAAGTAGACTTATCTACATATACTTATATAAGTAAGCTTATCTTAAGGAGACAAACAGTAAAGATTACATGAGAAGTATAAAACCATGATATCTGTAGTATGAGTAACTACAGACATAACATCGTCAGGGGTCTGTTTGTTTCGCTGAAGAAAACTAAAAGCTATAGGCTGATGTGAGTGTGTGATGTGAGCCTATACTCTTATGCTACTAATGTGCTAACACTATCATGCTCATTTCTATGTTCAAAGAGTTTTAAAAATATTTTTACTTACAATTTGTCCTTTTGCTCCCTTGGATCCTGCCTTTCCTTGTAATCCCTAAAATGATCAAACAAGAAAGAAACAGATTTAGGATGGTACTGTAAAACATAAACCAGTAATGTCAGACAGAGGAAATACATATGGCAGGAAGAACATAAAAAATGAGGTTCAGGTATGGATGATTTTTCCATAGTATTTGTGTTTTTTATCCATTATCCTGTCAAAAACACAGCTAGCTTCTCACTGATAAATGACTTCAAAATGACATCAGTGGGACATTCCAGAGGCCGAAGATACAACTTTGGAGAAGTCAGCATGTCTCTTTACAGCCATCCATATCATCCTGTTACTGTTAACCTGCTATGTGACAGCCTCAGATAAAAGCTTTGTGGAAGACAGGAATGTGTCCCCCAAAAGTGCACTATACTCTTATGAAGAGAAAACTGAAAGATTAATCAAAGAAGGGCAATACACCAAGAAGAATTCACCTTTACATTTTCTTTATTTTTCAAAATTCCTTTTACACTTATATAGTGCTTTTCTGAACACTCCATCAAAGCATTTTACAGGTAATGGGGAATCCACCACCACCAATGGGTAGCCCCCTGCCTGGATAATGCGAAGGCAGCCAAAGTGCGCCAGTACGCTCCCCACACACCAGCTATTAGTGGGGAGGAGATCACAGGCCATCTAGGCCATTAGGAGGCCATGACTGGTAAATCACAGAGAGGAATTGGACAGGATAGGCCAAACAACGGTACAAAGCTCTTTGTAACTCTTAAATTTTGTAATGCAATATGACCGGGACACGGTACTAGACAGAGACACACTTACGGGGAGTCCGTTGGGCCCTTTCTCTCCTGGAACTCCCGGTCGGCCAGAATCACCCTGAAGAAAGACAAGGAGAACCGTGTCTATAGTACAGCGGCACATGCCTGCAGGGGCACAAGACAAACTGGACAAAGACCACGCCTACCTTTTCCCCATCTGTTCCTTGTGTGCCATCTTTACCATCTCGACCAGGGATGCCCTGGAAGTACAGATAAACATTATTCAAGTCCCCAACAAAAAACTGAAAAGAACAAAACAAAAAAAAAAAAAACACTGATGTCGCAAACAGTTATTATGATACTTACAGGCTCTCCTTTGGACCCAGATCCCCCTGAGATGCCTTTCGGACCTGGTTTTCCCTGAGGAAAAAACATTAATATACTGGTACTGCGGTTTCAAAAAGTATTTCCTTCCATTCCCCCCAAAAAAGAGAGGGCAATAGCTTGTGGCAGATTAGCAGGTCGGTCACTGCCATGCACAAGGAGCTAGAAATCAGTTAATTAAGACCCCAATCATTGGAGACAGATGGATACACTCTGGATGCACTCCTAAAGGTTATACACAGAAGAGAACTTTCTAACACCATAAGTTCTTCATCTCTAGATACTGCCATTAGACAATACTGAAGAAAGACCATAATGTCAAAAGTGTTGAATGGAACCAGTTTCTACATGGGTCCCCATAGCTCTTGAAACCTAACATGGGTTGTCTATGGAGCATGCTGTATGGGAGTGTCTCACTGCACTCTTGCAAACTTATTGTAGACAAGCCAATTTATTTGAATAGGTCATAATAATCTGAGCATTATTGTATCGCTGGAGATGATGGTTCACAATCCAGCCCAAAAGTGCTAGGCCTGGCCTTCACTATATGTTTATACAAGAGACATGAACATTTTCTACTCACAATGTCACCCTTTGGTCCTTTAAAGCCCTGTGGTCCCTTCTCTCCAGAGTCACCCTAGAACCATAAAAACACAGACATGTTTGCTAAGAAAAATATTCACTCCATTAAGAAAAACATTTCATAACGTCTGTAATATGATTGTTATAATCATGTTATTCCAAAAGGCATCCACCTGAATGCCTGTAGTAAGTGCTTTGAGAAGCCACCTTCAGGAGCTTCATAAACTAAAGTTTATTATTATTACCCTGCAGAAATCCCTGACAAATATAAAGGTGATCAAATTAAAGTTAATTTTTGCCCTTTTGTAAAGCAAACCACAAATAACTGCAGTTTCCATCCAATATAATCTCTGTCTTGCAAAACATTATTACAACATTCCTTTATAAATTCCTTTTCACATTTAAATATGTGATAATTAACAGTCAATAATCTTGTCACATTTATTAAAATGTATGCATACAAATATGATTTATAATTAACCCCTACAGCTTATATTTCCATGCTTGTTTAATAACTGTAAATAGTAACAGTGCATTATATTTATAGAAAAATATTACTCTAATAAAAGCTTAATTAAAAAGATAAAATAACAATCAACGGATTCATATTTTTAAAGTACTATATAATCTAGTTTATCTTTTTAAAAATGGACCCCGTCACTAAACGAGACGATTTGAAATCTTGTTTCCATATACGAACATATTTTAAATGTACCCTAGTAATATCCTTTTAATGGGAATTCAATTTAATTAAATGTTCAGATTCATTCTCTTCCTGAGCTCCTGCCTGTTGCGGTCTGTTCGCTCAAACTCACTCTTTTTCCGATGACTCCGAGGTTTCCCGGACGCCCACGGAAGCCGGGCAGGCCCTGTCAGCAAAGGAAAAAACAAGAAAACTCACACACTTCAATCAATTCGCCAATTAGGTCAGATAACAAGCAGAGCTGTTCCCCTCCCCTCTCAAACCAGTGGCCATGTGCTGTTGCATACAGAGATGTCCAGAAATGACCTGGGCCAAGAGCTGAGTGTGTAACCTCTGGATATATGTTAACTCCAAAAATCTTATATTTCTAAAAATAGCTACATTCATGTTCTTGCAGCAAGAACAAATATCACTCCGTTCATCTGATGAAACGATGAGCCACTCACCCGGTCTCCCACTGGGCCCATGGGACCCATTAGTCCTCTTAAACCGCGTGAACCCTATGAAGCAAGAAGGACACACGGTCTGCTTAAGCCATTATTAATACCGGAATGCATTCACAATTCTTCAGTGCTTATAGGCCATTCTATTAAATGAGCTTTTATTGTGGACTCCCATAGGGTATACACAGAAGAGAAATTGATAATGCTTATGCTCTTATTCTCTGGATACTGCCATTTAGTTAATATTGAAGAGTGAGTACACTGCCATGTGCTGAATGGAACCAGTTTAAACATGGGTGAATATAGCTCTTGAAAAGCCCATAACTCTTGAAACCTAACTTGGGCTGTCAGTAGAGCATGCTGTATCTGTCTCATTGCACCCACTGCAACCTTAATGACGACCAGACTATTTCTTTGTATTTGGTAATTTTCTAATGATCTGAATAATATTGTAGACTGTAATTGGTATTAACTAGTGCTAACTACTGTATCTTTTCACATCAGTTTTCAGAATTACTACAGTGTAGCTATAAACAGATGGTGGAATGAGGCAATTTGAGGAGAGGTTCCAGCATTTAGATTAGCATCTGTTTAATGGGAAAAGGGTGTCAGCAGGTGTGAGGTGTGACTGACAATAGTGTGGTAGTGTTTCAACAGAGCATGTACACATCACACTACTGAGTTCTGTCAGAGACGAGAATAAAGCCGTGTCTGTACAGAGAATGTTTAGTTCATATAAACAAGGTGCTCGTACAGAATCTACAATATGAGGCATTGTCTAACCTGTACAATCAAAAATAAAGACAGAAAAGACAAAGAGGGAGATACAATAGATCCTGGGAAGTCTAATAGTATGCAGAATAAGGGAGGAGGAGGCACACAGGACGCAATTATACAAGGTTTAGCATGGGAATACTTTTTTGACCCAGTGTCCAGAATACAGTCCATATTACTTTATTTACATTGAATTTTAAGAGGCTTTTGACCCTGTAAAAGACCAAGCCTAAAAATTAAAGCTATAGTTATACAGGGCAAACTTGCAGTATGGATTAATAACTGGCTATAAGATACAAAAAAACGTTACAGTAAGAAGCCACAAATTAATTTAGAGAAGCATAATGAGTGGTGTGCCACAGGGATCTGTGCTGGGACCACTGCTATTTCTGCTTTACATTCATAACTTGAAATATTACATAAGGGATAATCTTTCATAATGATATTAAACTGCCTGACTAATATATACAAAGAGGAAAAGAGATGTGAACAAAATTCATATTTGTGTGTACATTTCAAAGAGTAAATGTAACATAAGAAGGGGTGGAGTCCTGAATGAGAGCACAAAACACAGCATAGTGAGTACATAATGACCACTTAGAAAATAGAAAGTATTATGTCAAAACAATAACAGAATACATAGGCCACATAGGTTTAACTTTTGAATTCAAGGTTCAACTAAAGTTTTCTGACGTTGTCAGCTCTTAATATTATAACAATGACAAAGAACCCTTAAAAGGGCTATAGATGAGAGCAGTCCGATTGTATCAGAATACTAAAAGAAATGTGTATCAGAGACAGGTTGAAAGAGCTTAATCAAGAAACTCAATGTTGAAATATTACATAAAGTGAGCATATTTGATAATTATATATAACTGCCTGCCTTATATCTAGAGATTATGAAGGGTAAAACATGATTACTGACAATAATTTCTCTCACAAGTTACAGAGACAAAGACAGACAGCAAAGGCTGGAAGCTAAAGAAAGCAATTTGGAACTGAAGAGAGAAGAAACATGCAGTAAGAAATATTTTCCACAGACTGATTGGAGAATGTTTGGAGCAGTTTACTGTTTATACATTCTTTATCTTCCTCTCCACTAACATTTCCATGAAGGATGCTTACTAGTTAATATAATATAAGTGAAAATATCTGAAAAAAAATCTCAGAGACAAAATCCCACAAACCTGGAGACCAACTGTCCCAGGAGGGCCGGGTGGACCTGGAGGTCCTGGGTCACCCTGGAACGAAACAGACAGAACCGTGGTCACCATATTTAACTATTTATCCTGGGCTGATGTTCAAAAGCTTTGGTGCTCAAGTTTATAACTTCCCTTTTAACAGTTTGACTCACTTCTCTAACCCTCTGCATCATGGAGGGCACGAGGACATGTTCCTGCATTGCTTTGGCTTCGAGTGCCTCCTCATCTACTGTCTGAAGCCCTCTGCATTCCCCACATTGTGAGCTGCACATATGTACACAGAGGAGAGCTGGCGTGGACTGGGAGAGCACTCACACCGAGACCCTCGGCTCACCACCACGTGACCGGCCATAGACACCCCAGCCTGAATCCTGGCATTGCTTGTCCAATCCCCTGCTACTTTTTCAGAAGTTTGAGTCACAGCTGGCTCATGACATATAGTGACTGGGACTCCCTATTGGAATGGACACTTCACTGAACATCTGGAACATCGTTCTACACTGGCCAAGGACCTCAAAAAACCCTAAAAATCTTTGATGTTTAGTCGTTTTTAGTTGTGTTTTATTGAATTATCCCACATATATTGTAGGAACTCTGTGCCCGATACAAATTAGATATTTGGAATGCAATAGCAGAATATGGATCATCCAGAAAAAACAAAAGACTAAGATAATAATATTATTAACTCTGTTTTCACCTTTTCTCCATCTTTTCCAGTTTCCCCTTTTTCGCCTTTGTGGCCTGTGTGACCCTGGAACACATTGAGAAGCACAACATGAGGGACAGTCTTCACCTGTCCTTCCACATTCCCCATCTGCGGTTTTCAACAGCACACAGGCTGAATCTGTCAGAACGTTTCGTGACTTCATGACCTTCTGCTAGGTAAGATTCTCTGAATAAGTAACAAGGTCTCAGCACAGGTAGTTTAAATTATTCATTACACTTCATGTCAAACATTGAATTGGCATTTGAACAACACTAACAGGCAAAGTTAAATCTGAAATAACATCCTTTGGACATCCCTCTCTGCTTTATTTTCCATTTTCTTTCTTTGGTCCTATAATTCAATAATAAATTTGTCTTCATTTAGTCAAGATTGGACATCTTTAACTTTGTCCATGTTTATTTCATACTTCTCAAGTAGGACTGATGAATTCACGATAAACAAGCAATTATATTTAGCCATTTTTTACAGTTACAATTACATATTTTTATGCTACTATAGTACATATTATACTACTTTCATGAAGTATCATTTTTTCAGTAAATCGTAAAGTTGTTGTACCACACCGGCACAGAGCTGTTAGTTTGCAGTGAATTCTAGAAGTGCTGTTTTTCATTTTAGCATTCTATTCATCGGTCAAACTGCTTGTGCTGTACCAGCTTTTGATGTTTCTTGAATCAATAAGCTGTATTGTAACAAGAACTTGGTTATATCACTCATTACAGCAGAGTGATACATTTTGTAAATACTGTGAGTATTTTATGCAAGTTGCTTTGGACGAGTAAAAAGCAAAAACTTTTCAATCACCTTGAACCCTGGCATTCCTGGAACTCCAGGTGGACCTGGAGGACAAATGGCTGGACACTATAAGAAGACAGGGGACAAACGCATCACAATTACTTTTGACACAGCATAACAGCACTCATCTTCCCAGAAGAAATCACATTCCCTTAGAGGCATTCAAAAATACATAAAACAGAATACAAGCCTAAATACTACCCCTCCCGCTAATACATTCAAAAACCTGACAACCCCTACAAGAAAATGAAACAGGTGAGGCATGTAAAATAGCTATGATGGTACTTTATATATGGCATTGCACCTCATGAAATCCGAATTTAGACATTTTCTTTTTTAAATAAGAGGAGCATCTTATAACATTTCAAATTCAATATTATCTCTATCATGCTGAAATGCTTAAAACATATGTTGCTGTTACTTATGATCTAGTTGATTTGATTGCAAAGGATAGTAGTATTGGTGGTACCTGAATTTTTCAGCCATCTTAATCTTCTTAAACCCAAAAGATTAGTGTCTCATGTGGAGAGATTTTTCTTTAAGACAGCTCACTCTTTAAAGCCAATGGATGTCAAAATTACTATATAAATGACAAATTCCTAATATTTTGCCCATGTTTATTTCCTTTCGTGTCCAGTCAAGTGAAATGACCTAATCAAAATGTATTTTTGTCTGAAGGATTAGATACTTTTTTTCTTTAATAGAGACAGCTTTGGCTATTTTCCGCCTTTCTCAATCTGGTTTAATTTATGGTAAAATAAAATAACTTATTGCCATTTCTGCTTCTACAGTCAATCTAAATCTACAACGGTTCAGGATGTAGTCTAAAAAACTATATTTGGAAAGAGACGATAACAGCACATTAACCACATTCATTGGACTTTTCATTCATTCCCCCCCCCCAACTATATCCATTTGTTAAATAGAAATTCTATTTAACAGGCACACAGATGAAAAGAGGTGAAAGAGGAAGCTTACCACAGCCTCACCACTGCCCTCGGGGAAAGCCCCAGGAAGACCCTTTGGGAAAGAGGATAAGGGTGAGGGCATCGTCAGAGGGGCAGACAGGGAACTACACAGGAACGGGAACAGCCCACATGGTGTAGACAGCTATACGATCAACTAGCAGAACTCTTAAAAATTATGTACGTCATACTACATGGTCATGAGCTTTAACAGTAGCCATTGCTATGTACAAATACATGGGCAGCACTAACACTGGCCACATGGATCAGAAATTCTGTTTTTTGCTATTTATGATCAATAGTACTGTTATTCAGAACACCTCCACATTTAGAGTTGATTTGGGTTAAGCATGTAAATTAATAAAACTTTATTCTGATGATTTTTAAAACATAAAAAATGACCGTGGTCTCAAGTTAATTTTCTTAACGTTTGGTTTTGTAATATAAGGTAACTTAATAACAAGAGAAACTGGTACTCGTGCACAGGTGATGTATCTGGGGTGATTTTTACTGTAGATCAGATTATTTTGATATCTTCACAACAATACACAATCTGGGGTCTTCAAAGTTAGCAATCTGAACAAGGGCAGGAGTCACTTGTAGCAGGTAGATATACAATGAAAGGGGATGTTCACTCATAGCACCGGCTATTTCCTACACTTCACTGTGTAGGAAAGGAAACTTTTTGTGATGCCTCAGCTAAAGCATGAGCTTTGCAGCATGACCACTAGAGCACAGCAGTATGGGACTGCAGCTGGTAGGACCATAGTTGGATTATCTCATTTTAAAGAAATAGTTGTATGTGACAGTCCTTTGACTTCAGATTCATTATGATGCATTTAGAAAATTATGTGTATTTTGAACACAAGTACTTTGAAACCTGGACTTCCAATAGGGTTTATCTGAGCCAGTTCCATACTTACTGGTGGTCCAGGAGGTCCAGAAGGACCAGTAGATCCAGGAGGGCCTTCAGGTCCCTGAAAGTTAGAGACAAAACAACTAATTAATCCCAGCAGAATCTGCTATGGGTTTAACTGCACTAAGTTACTAGAGGCCCTCAGGGTGTGCGGACGCCACACCTGATCATTACCTCTACCTCAACTGTGAGAACTGTGACAGTGACCTACATGGAACTTGGGCTGCACCTATTCAGTGAATGTACTCCGGCACAATTATGAGCTCTCTGATGATTCGTTCTGCCCTTGATTTTCTGAATTATCTTATGCTTCACGTTTGTGCGAAGAGGAGACTTGAAAATCCGCCGTGACTATCTCTAGATGCGTGTTTTCTGTTTTTCCATGCTTTTCAATATCTTCTAATTAGTCACTGCTTAGCTTACTTACTATTACCTGATATTGTAAATATAGGGAAAGGAATGACAGAGTAATTGAGCAATGGTGCTACATTTATTACACAATCTCTCACATTTTAATGGTTAAGGCTTGAGGATTCCAACCCTGGACTAAACCTTAGCACTTTCTCCACTTTAACTACTTGTACAGTATTGCAGCAAACAATATTAATTGCACCATGATAAAAATGGTTAATGTACTCCTGTTGTGAAAGGCATTCTGAAAATTGATAGTGAGAAAAGCCAGCTGTGACATTCAAGAAAGGAAGAATATTCACACACCTAATTAAAGTTAATTCTGTTCTGATTGCAGAAAGTTTGGTTAAATCTTAAAGGTAATTCATTATCAACACATTCAATTACTGAAGTGATTCAAATATCACATCATAAGTACTGGGAAAAATGGTGGACTAGATGCCAAATCCTCAGACAAACACACAATGGTGGCTGTATATCAAAAACTACTATCTGCCCGTGGATCTTGCAGTATTTGTCTCCTCATTTCTGAGACGAGCTGGCTGTGATCTGATCAGAACCCAGGCAAATTATAATAACTTGCTATTACACCCAAAGTGCTGCTTATAAAAATAATCTTTTAACTTTAAAATCTGAAATATAATAAATTCTATACTGCATTGGAACTTAAAAAGTATTTAAACCAAAGTAGATGACTCCATTACACACAAACAATTTAGTTGGTTCATTTTATAACTTGGGTCTCTTTTAGGATGTGTTTTAAGACTTGGGTGGAGCCAAAGCTTTATTATAGGCCCTTTGTCTGTAGTAGTAGCTAAAGCTATCAGATTTAGCGAAGGACCATAAGGATCAACAGCTCAGTCATGACATGCTCAGGGTGAAAGTGGTGGGTAGCTGATAAATGTTTTACCTGCTTATTCCTAAATAAGGCTTAAACAGTGGAAGCAGTTCCATTATTGGCTTTTCCATTATCTTTTAGAATGTCTATAGACATGTGTACAGTATTAGCAGCCCAGGACAACTTTAGACAGTAATACACATGGAACACCAGATGATGTCTTATTATTGGTTTAAGTCAGAGAATTGCTAACCTGAAGCACCTGAAGTCTTCTCTTCTACCTATATTGGTCTAAGTAAACTAAAAATAAACCACCTTTAAAAAAATCTTTTAAATCTTAAGATCAAAACAATGAACCACTCTGAATTTCTCCCCAAGACACTGAAAAGGACGTCTGATAAAATCAAATGCAATTTCATCTGGATATGCCTCAAGAGAGTTTCTTGTTACTGCTGTGAGTGTAGGTATTCAGGTGTAATACAAACTATTTGAGATCAACATTTCTGTAGTGTGTATGCTAGTGCATGTCTGTTTTTATTGCAATAAGCAGGCTTCTGCTGAATTACCTGAAGAAAACTAACTTGAAAATGTTGTCTTTTATTGTATTGTATTGCTGACACTGTATTCTGTTTTATTAAGCTTTCTATAAGCTCTATTCAGATATTGCACACCTACTTTGGTTTTATAGTGTCTGTCAAGATAAGTGAGGGAGTCTCATTTTTTTAATGGTAATTCAAGAAGCATGAAGGCGAGATACTTGAACCAGCAATGATAGCAGCAATCAGATGAGCAGTTTGTAGCGTGAAGGTCTTTCACTGCGTTTAATTATTCATTGCTTTCTAGACCATCTAAAATATAGCACTTTAAAATCATGTGTTACTAAACATGAGAATGTGAGAACTTCTACAGTGTTGAAAATGTGTTTTTCATGGACAAATTCCTTTAACGTCTTGTATAATGAACTGTATATAAACCTATTCAAATCATTGAACTGTTTTTGAAGCTTTCAAAGCACCTTGCTAAAAACAAACAAAAAAAAATAACATCATCAAAGATTAAATCTGAAAAGGAGACAGTCGTCAAAAACAGCATAGTCATGGGACCTCATGAGTAGATCTCAAAACAGGGAATCAAAAGACTAACAGGACAACTATAAAAGCATTTTGCTCCAGCTCAAAAATGAGTCTTATGTTTATTTCTGTTTTCCCCACCTAGATTGTAGCTTGGGGGTGGAACAATAATGTGCTGGTTAGTTCTGTAGCCTCGCAGCTCCAGGGGTGGGGGGTTAGTTTTCGGATTTGGTGTCTGCGTGCCTTTTTTCACTGGAACTGAAGTTTTACTCCAGTCTCTTCTGTTTCCTCCCACTTCCCAAAGACATGCAGGATAGGTGCAATGTCCTGATCTCTGGTCTCCACAAGGAACTGGAACTGAAGTTTTACTCCAGTCTCTTCTGTTTCCTCCCACTTCCCAAAGACATGCAGGATAGGTGCAATGTCTTGATCTCTGGTCTCCACAAGGGTGGTAGCTAGACACCCCTACCCTGTCAAGACTGGCTCTTGTGCCTGTCTGCCCTAGGTTTGGAATAAAGTACGTTGTATAAAATAATTCCCTTGCATTTTTAACCAAGATCTTCAGTGTCATGAGTGAGCAAGTGCTGTCACTCTGCAGAATCAAACGGGTAATGAATGCCATGTGATGCAATGCATACTTCGTTAGCTTAAATGTCCTTTGCTTGTCCTTTCCTGTTGCATATGTTACAGGTTTCACAAACCATACTGAGGTGTTGGTTTCCTTTTATCTCTTTTCCAGTATCATTCTGCAAAATGTTTGAATGGGGAGATGCATCAGTATGTGTTGACACCGGAAGAAGGCTCAATAGCCAACATGCTTGTGCTCCTCTTTCTAATTTTCAGCGTGGAACTGACCTTTTCCTATTCCATGACTCCATGTGCTCCACATGCGTTGAGGACTACTAGGCAGCGTGTTTTGCAGCTTGACTTTAACTGTTACCTCGCCCACCTTGCAGTCTGGATTTTGCACTGAGCGATTTTCATCTGTTTGGTCCAAAGGCAAAAGCTCTCTAAGGTTGGAGTGACAATGAGGTCCAACTGCAAGTGTTGTGATGGCTCAGGGTTCAACAAGCATGAGGATATTGTGGGTGTCTGTAATCTAGTGACATGGTGGCAAAAGAGGGCTGTGAAAGCAGAGTGGACTATCCTAAAAAAAGAGTCAACTCAACTCACCGGAGGACCCTGTGGCCCTAATCCTCCTGAAAGTCCTGTGGCTCCAGGGGGACCCTAGAGAGATGAAACAAGACACACAGACACATGCATACCCAACACACAAACCATATGACACACGCACACGCACACGCACACGCACACGCACACGCACACGCACACGCACACGCACACGCACACGCACACGCACACGCACACGCACACACAAACACCACCCGTTAAAAAAGCTTCAGCTATATGAAAAGCATAGTTTGAACACAAAAATATGACATACTGTACTGCAAAAAAAAATACATATACAAGTCAAATTACAAAGAATAATAAATATCTATTACACTATTAGTGCAATTAAAATTAACAGCCAACGAATGGAGCTTTATGTCATACTGAAATTATCTGCGAAACCTACAGTGCAAAATACACCAAAGAAAAAGAACATTAGAAAAGGATTTTCCACCAAACTTTAAATATTTGGTGCTACTCTGAACAAAGTAAATAAATAAATAGGAAAGGATAAATTTGTACCTTAGATGCATGGTTGTGCAAATTGTCCACTAAATTAATGCACATTTCACAGAAAACATATTTCAATTTCCAGGCCTTTAATAATAAAAATCACTTACTGGTGGTCCTGGTTTCCCTCTGCCCTAAGAAAAATAGGGGGATACATATGAAGACACACACTGCTATTCAAGTACACAATTGTTCAATATTTGTTTGGGTAAAATGTTGCACTAGCATCACTCGGTCTACTCCATTTTTCCAAGGGGTAATATTTCTAATGCTATAATTTAAATTATATATATAATGTTCCAGAGAAGTACAGCAGAAATAAAAAAGCTGCTTATAAACACCGTGTTGCCAATTAACATGCATTGCTAATTTTAATAGCCTAACCTTATTTTTAAGCCAGGTTAGTAATTCCCACTTTTATCAAATTAGTAAATTAAGGTTTAGTATCAGGAAGAAAATGGTCATTGGGGAGCAAATTCCAAAAGCGCAATGCTTATCTTTATCTTCCAGCAAATATTCCACTTCAGAACAATTGTGTTAAAGATGCGCTGGAAATTTCAAAGTGAGTGACCTCACCAGGTGGGGTTGCCAAGCCTGTAATTATGATCTGTCTAACATCCTTCCATTTTCTAACCACTTTATCTTTCACAGGGTCATGGGGGAGCTGAAGCTTTTCCTGAGAAGCAAAGGGTCAGGGACGCCGGGCACTAGAACGGACACACAGACACTAACACAAGCAGACGTCACCTCTGTTTTCACTGGCCATAAATTTACAGATGGTTGGTACCTGTAGCTACAATGATACCAATGTTACAGCTGGTGGCAGCTACAATGAATGGGCAATTTCTTTTGCCCGCATTACTATAACTGTGGCAAATACTTGTTGCATTTCGTCGCACTCTTGACTCGGGTTTAATAAAGAGAAGAAAATTACAATACTTACAGGAGGCCCGCCTGGACCAGGAGGTCCTGGTTCCCCCTAGAAAGAGATGAGATGAAGCAAGATTACTCTTCTGAAGCCAGTTAAAACAACTACAACTACACAAGTGTTTCTTTCATAGTATGCAGACGAAAATCCAGTAAATTGTGTGATGAAGACTTTTCACTTTTACTGAGTCTCATGTATATCTACAAAGGGGTTTCACAGTCCACATATCTGTCTTTCTCTTGGGAACACACACACAAAAATCAAGCACCAGCTGTATTAAGTTGAGTTTGAAATGTAGCCTGAAAGCAGGCTTGCAATGTAGGCTTGGTGTCTCTTGGAAGACATTTCTAAATTGGTTCTGTGATTTCAAAGTAGTGAGTACATTGATGCCAAAATTTTATTCATGTAGAAATGCCATTTAGGATGAGGTCAAAATATGTTCAGGGGGAACATGACTGAAGTGTATATATTAATTGGAAGACCACAGAAGAAACAAAGCACAGAATGTGTCCTGCTAAAAGATACCATATTAAATCAGTGGTGTCCAACCAAGCTAAAAGGAGACCCCCCCAGTTTGTCAGATGTGTTTGAAGGTTATGTAAAGTGACAGTAAGGGAATCCTGACTAAATTAGTTAACACGATCGTGCCATTCTACACTCCTTTAAACACCTGCGTAGCAACTGCACAGCAGTAAACACAAAAGAGTACACAAGAGCGCAAACTGCTTTGTGAGAGACCCTTTCCCTCATAGTATCTGCAAGAAACCACTTGTCTCACCAGTCCTTCAAGTTTTAGTTTATAAATAAAATCCCCAAGAATAAAACAATTTGAGAAAATAATATATTGTCAAATATTTTGCTAAAACTATTTAGCGAGAAGGGAATCAATTAAATGCCATCCATCAGCTATCAGAAATGTCTCTATTGCTGGTTGAAGTATACTCACAATAATAAGATGCAGAACAAATAGTTATTCAATAGGGACAGTGACATAACCAAATTAAAGTGCATATTTTAATCCCATGAAGAAGATTCTTTAATTAAATCTTTGGAAAAACAATTCTTTCTCCACAAAGTGGTAAAACCTGACAAATAGCTAATGCCATATCTAAAACCATGTACACTGTAGCTACTGGAATGTAAGACAGACTTACTAATTACTATAATTTCCCATGATGTTAATATGCTTTAAACCATCACCCTTTCAATTGAATGTAAATCCTCTCATGTTGATCTAAAGCAGAATACCTATTTTCTTAAAACAAAATACTTAAAAACACATTAAAAACTAATCATATTTCTAAAACCTTTATGCAGTTACTGTATATAAACTATCAATGCTTTCAGATTTTCTTCTGGTTTGAATTAGAGGGGATCTTGCTTCACGCAAGATACAAAGAGAGGGTAGCACAGGCTGAATCTCTGCAAACACATGCTAGCTAAATGCCCCCTAGTGGATACATGTTGGCAAACTCTACTGGGCTTATTTCCGACAACAGTTTTAACCTCATTTTCCTTCAGTTCAAAATGAGATTTTTTAGAATCTTGAGAATACAAGAATTCAGGCACAGTTCTAAGACTAAAGGGAGAACAAACCACTTTGCTCCTCTTCATTCAGCATATAATTGCTATCTCTTCCAGGACCTGATGCTTTAACTTCTTGCAGAAACCTTTTAGAAAAAAGCCAGTACTTTACTTTCCCCTTTTGCTATCAAGCAAAATGTTCTGAGAATTATTTAGTTTTCAAATCCCCACCAAGACACTTGGAGTTTTTGTTTACTTGCATTTCATAATAATTAAACATGCAATAACTACACATGCACGTTCCTTCAACATGAGTAAACAAGATTCCAAGAAGGACGCTTCTGTCTAATGACTGTTCATAACTCCCTTCCACAAAAGTAAAAGACCTAGGTGCTACCACAGACAATTCTCATATGTTTGGTCACATTCTGTAGTACATTAAGGGTAAATGAGTTCAGATAAAGGATACTAACAATTATCCTTTACAGTTCTGTTATACTTTATCATTTATGATTCTATTGACGAATTCCTAATGCAAGAAATTGTATACAGCTAATAAAGTGATCTTATCTTACAGAATTATTTGCTGTTCTATGGGATCCCTGTTAAAAATTAATTAATGAATGCTTTGTTTTCTACAGTGAATCAATGATAAGAAATAAGAAGGTTCAATTAATAAATGAGAATTGTTTGATAAATCATATGTATTCGACTGGATTATAGAATAAAAAGTTTCAAATAAAGGTTTGCAACATTATTATCTGTGATTGTGTCCTCTCTTGTGTGTATATTAAGTGTATCCCAATTAATTTCTCCTATTAGTGAACAAAAAAATCTGACTAATAAATAAATACATAGTCTTTTATAAATTAGACTAACAATAATGATCTTATGATATCAGCTTTGATATGTACATACACAAAAGCAGAGATTTAAGTCTCTGTGGATGTCTATACAGAGACTGAGTACAATTGTGCACATTCCAGATAGGATTAAGACATTCACAGCCATGGAAAAGTAAATCTTGTTCATCCAAAACCTCATTAAAAAGATTCCCACTAAGAATTCACACCAGACTGACAAATGTAGCCAGACAGTGCAGCACAGTGCAGCACAAACAAACTGGGACCTGGTACTCAAATTAACTCTTCTAAGAACTGCAAATATTTATCACAAATCTTCGACTGCAGAAATTACTATAACTGTGGCATAGGGACATACCCATCCTACGCAGTAAAAAAACTCAGAACAAGAACAAACTTAATTAAAATCAGAAAGAAGAGGATAATGTTCAACTT